GGGCTCCCCGCGCTGCTAGACCGGCCTGCGGGGAGCGCCCCCCCAGGGCCGCCTGCGCTAACGGGGGGAGCCAGTCGGGGTCCCCCCCGCCCAACAGGGGCCCCCGCCCGCAACAGCGGAGCCCCCCAACAGTCTTGCACTAAAGGGGGGGCGGCTTGTAGCTAAAACCAGGCCCCTCCCCCACGCCCATAAGGGAGGGATCAGGGGCGCTGCGCCCCCCAATACCTCGAGCTGCCTCCTCTGCAGTCAGGAAGCGGGGGAGGATCAGTTCCTCAAGGGCTCCCCCTGCACAGATCTGGTCTCAAAGACCCCAGGGCGGCCTACAGCAATGTGGGGGGAGCAGTGCCCCTCCTTTGCCCCCCCAATCTGGGGGGCTCTGGGGAGCCATGCAGTTCCCTACTCAGTTCCTCAAGGGCTCCCCCTGCACAGATCTGGTCTCAAAGACCCCAGGGCGGCCTACAGCAATGTGGGGGGAGCAGTGCCCCTCCTTTGCCCCCCCAATCTGGGGGGCTCTGGGGAGCCATGCAGTTCCCTACCTCGCAGGCGGAGGTGAGGGCCTAGCACATAGGTGTCATGGGGTGGGGGGGTGAGGGCGTCAGGTCACATGCACCCCTACCTGGGTCAAATGTCCCCCTAGATTTTAATTGCTGAAGCCGGGTGTCCCCACTTTGCCCCCCTCCCCGCAGGGCAGGGGGCTAGAGCCGGGCACGAGGCCCAGAGGTGTGTCTACCTGGCCCCCTCGCCACACCGCGTGGGGGAGCTCCGGGCTGACCCGTCCCTGGGGCATGCGGCTCAGACGCAGGCAGCCGGTCTCACCCATGGGTGCCATGGAAGCATCAGAACCGGGGGGAGGGGGGAGGCTGGGGCAGGGCTGGGGCAGGAGGAGCTGACCTCAAGCGGCTCCCGCTCAGTGGTGCAGAGCGGGGCTAAGGCCGCTTCCTGCCTCTCCTGGCCCCGCAGCTGCTGCTGCCCCCAGAGGCCCCCGGCAGCGGGTTCCCAGCCCATGGGAGTGTGGAGCTAGTGCTAGGGGCAGGCACAGTGTGCGGAGCATTGCGTGTTCCCCTCCCCACCTAGGAGCCAGGCCTGCTGCAGCCACTTCTGGGGCGCAGCGCAGTCTGTGGGGCCGGGCCAGGCAGATCATCCTGGGCTGGGCTGACCCACGTGGTGCCAGGCGGGGGGGCGGGGTATGTCTAGGACCAGACCATCGTCCCAGCCGTTGCCCTTCACTGGTCGCCCCTGTGAACATCTAACCCAAGTCTCCCTTGCTGCAAATTAAACGGCTCCTTCCGTGTCCCGTCCTCAGTGGGCAAGAGGAGCAGCTGGACACTCTGTGTAGTGCCCAGGCCTGCGGTCCCCCCCACGGCTCCTCAGGGAAAACTGAGCCAAGAGCCTCTGGACTCAGCACACAAAGCCACCCCCTGGCAGCAACAGCAGACGCTTCTCGTGTGCAGCCCCTGCACCAATAGCTTCTACTGGCCCCGTTCGGAGTCAGCTGCAGCACAGAGACTTGCCTAAGGCCACCGGAAGAATCAGTGGCGGAGCAAGGGTTAGCGGTTTCGCCTCCCAGTTCCCCTCGTGCCAGCCGTTAAGCCCTGGAACGCTGGCATTGGCATTTATTGGGCCAACTTCAGCTCTATGGAAGTCAATGCTCCTGGGCAGGCTTACGCCCGGTCTGAATGCGGCTCCCCTGTCTTTGGAGCTGTGCTGGTCAAACACAGAGCAGCCCTTCCATTGGCGTGAGGCCTCCTGGCCTCGCTAAAGTCACCGACGTGCGGATCTGTTTGGACACGGACGGGAGAGGTGGTGGGGAACGCTCAAACCACGCTGCACTGTTGGGAGACTCCCCACGGGAAAGGCTGAAGGGCAGTGGAACGGTGTAACCGGTGTGTCTGTGAATTACGGCAGCCTCCGGGGCTGGTCTTTCTCACACCAGGAGCCTCACTGACCTGTGAGCTACCCAAAACCTTGCAGGAGAAACAGACGTAGCAAGGGTGTTATGCGCCCGGGGGCAAAAGCAAAATTTGTGTCCTCTCCCCCCCACCGCCAGTATGTGGCAGGGCCTCGAACCTAGCGCTCAGCTAAACCAGACCTTGGGAGGAGGAGCTTGTACAGCGTCTTTCCCCGCCCCCTCCAGTTTGGGGCTGGCCCCCCCACTCACCCACCATCCAGCATTTGGCACAGTTTACACAACAAGAAGTCAAATGAAGAACACTCTTCCTTCCACTTCCCTTACTCCTCGTGAAATGAGAGTTACAGAAGTCGGAGCAAGAAGCTCGTTATTTTGAAATTATTTCAAAATAACAGGCTTGCTGGATTGATGTGCAGCCCACACTGGGTGTGGGTCACTGGCCCATGGAGAGGCACCTAGGCCACTTACAGAGAGCTAAGCCCAGGAGCGCTCTACAACCTAAGCTGGGAGCTGGGTTGTGGCTCCTACATGCAGCTCCAGGGGTCCTAGGTTCAAATCCACCTGGTGGTGGTTACAGGCATACACTCTGTCATTTTGAAATAAGCCTAGAGCCTAACTGAGACTGGAACAAGGCAATAGGGGAAGGCCTAAATTCCATGATTTGTAGCCAAGCTTGAGCTGTCCGATTGGAATGAGGAAAATGGAATTAAACTGGCCAAAAGAGGGTTCAGGGAACTGAGAATATTCCCTGCAACTGGTGAGTATTATGGGACATGATCACATTTTGGGCAAACTAGGTTCTCTGATAATTGAGGTTCAAAGAAACACAAAGGCAATAGGGGAAGGCCTAAATTCCATGATTTGTAGCCAAGCTTGAGCTGTCCGATTGGAATGAGGAAAATGGAATTAAACTGGCCAAAAGAGGGTTCAGGGAACTGAGAATATTCCCTGCAACTGGTGAGTATTATGGGACATGATCACATTTTGGGCAAACTAGGTTCTCTGATAATTGAGGTTCAAAGAAACACAGCTGGGCAGGATGATGGGGACTAATTTAGCTACAGCTATGCAAGAGAGAGAACTTTGTAGATAGTTCTCTGAAAACATCACTCCGTGTGCAGCGGCAGTCAAAAAAGCAAACAATGTGAGGAATCATTTAAAAAGGGATAGAGAATGAGACAGAGAATCACTTATTGCCTCTCTACAAAACCACAAGACACCCACATCTTGAATACTGTGTGCAGATGTGGTTGTTTCATCTCAAAAAAGATCTCTTGGCATTGGAAAAGGTTCGGAAAAGGGTAACACAAATGATTAGGGGTTTGGAACGGGTCCCATCTGAAGAGAGATTAAAAAGATG